TCATCCCCACATTCCACTGAGTTGGATCAAGTAGGTTTTATATTCCTTTTGAGCAACTAAAGTTAAGAGATTTGCTCAAGGCCACTGCTAACAATAACAGCAAGTATTGAGTATTTACTTGTATGACATACTAAGATTTAACTGCAGGTACTGTGCCATTGCTTTCACTATCTCAGGTAATCATTACAAAAACCCTCTAAGGTAGGTACTCTTATTCTATTTTAAGGATGGTGAAATTGAGGCACAGGGAGGTTAAGTAACTTCCCCAATGGTATTTTTTCATATCATTTGTGCCTGAAACTCCTGTGCCATCTTCGAAGTTATACACACTTCCCAAAAATTTGAACCACCACAAAGATAGGCACATGGCCAATAAGCATATGAAAAGATGTTCAGCATCATTAGTCTTTAGAAAAATGCAAACTAGGGCCGAGCCCGTGGCGCACTCGGGAGAGTGTGGCGCTGGGAGTGCAACGGCGCTCCCGCCACAGGTTCAGATCCTATATAGGGATGGCCGGTGCGCTCACTGGCTGAGTGCAGTGCGACCAGTCTCAAAAAAAGACAAAAAAAAAAGAGAAAAATGCAAACTAGGGCCGAGCCCGTGGCGCACTCGGGAGAGTGTGGCGCTGGGAGCGCAACGGCGCTCCCGCCACAGGCTCAGATCATATATAGGGATGGCCGGTGCGCTCACTGGCTGAGTGCAGTGCGACCAGTCTCAAAAAAAGACAAAAAAAAAAAGAGAAAAATGCAAACTAAAACCACAATTAGACACCAGTAAACACCTGTTAAAATGGAACACACACACGCACTGACAATACCGAGTGCTAACAAGTTAGTGAGGATACAAAATGGAACAGATACTTTGGAAAATAGATTGTCAGTTTCCTATAAAGTTAAACATATGATACTCTTAAGACCCACCAGTCCCATTCCTAGGTATGGGTACCCCCCCAAAAGAAAACAGGTATATACCCATATAAAGACCTGTATGTAACTTTCCATAGTTTCTTTATTCAAAAAGCCAAAAACCAGAAAAAAAAAATTTTTTTTTCATTAACAGATAACAACTATGGTACATAATGGAATACTATTCATTAACAAAAAGGAACACACACTACTGATACATGCAACATGGATGAATCTTAAATGCATTTTGCTAAGCGAAGGATGCCAGACTCAAAAAGCTACATACTGTATGATTCAATTCATATAACATTCTGGAAAAGGCATGACTATAGACAGAAAACAGAACAGTTGTTGTCAGCGGCTGGGGATGAGAAGAGGGAAATGACTACAAAAGGAAGTGGAAGTATTTTGGGGTGATGAAACTATTCTGTATCTTGACTGTGGTAGTCATTACACAACATGTTTGTCAAAATACATTTAACCATACACCTAAAAAGGGTGAAATTTACTGTATGGAAATTATACATCAATAAACCTGACTTAAAAACTATGCAAGCTTCTAAAAACTATACAGCTTAATCAAGATTCCTCTGTAGTGTTTCCTACACAGTCGTCCCTTGGTATCCGAGGGAGACTGGTTTCAGGACCCCCACAGATACCAAAATCTGAGGATGCTCAAGTCTTTTATATAAAATAGCATAATAATGGCTGGCCAGTTAGCTCAGTTGGTTAGACAGCAGTATTATATCACCAAAGTCAAGATTTCAGATCCCAGCACACTGCCAGCCACCAAAAAATAAAAAAATTAAATTAAAAAAATTTTTAAATGTTTTAATGGCATAATATTTGCATATAATCTATGCACATTCTCCCATACACACTACTTTAAGTCATCTCTAGATTACATATAACACATAATGTAAATGCTATGTAAATAGTTGTTATACTCTATTGATTTTTTATTTGATTATTTTTATTGTTATATTGTTATTTTTTATTGTTTTTCCCCCCAGAATATTTTTGATCCATAGTTGGTTGAATCTGCAAATGCAGAACCTGCAGATATAGAAGGCTGACTATACTTGCTGTCTCCAATTTCTTTTCTCCTTTCAGTAGATTTTGTATAGTAAAATATAAGACACAAAGAGAAAAGGACACAAATCATAAGTAAACCACTTAATGAATTACTGCAGAGTGAATACACTCATGTAAGGACCACTCAGATAAGAAATGGAATATTACCAAACCCCGCAGAAGTTCCTCTCCTATACTTCCCAAGATCACTATCTGTCCCTCCTTCTCAGAGATAACCAACTGCTCTTCTGACTTCTAACAACATGGATTTAGTTATGACTGTTTTTGAACTTTACACAAATAAAATCACACAGTATGCATTGTTTTGTGTCTGGCTTTCTCTGTTAAACATTATGCTTGTGAGATTCTTCCATATTGTTGTGTGTGGCAGTAATTCATTCATTTTCAGTGCTGCACGGTATCTGTGGGTTTTGTTGTTGTTGTTTGTGCCTTTTTTTTTTTTTTACAGCTGGCCCGTATGGGGATCTGAATCTTTGACCTTTGTATTACAACACACACTCTATCCAAATGAGCTACTCGGCTAGCCCCTCATTATGATTATACCATATTTTAGCTATATATTCTAGCACTGACAAACATTTGGGTTGCTTTTGTTTTGGGGCTATTATGAATATAGGAGATATGAACAGAAATATATATGTTGGTACATACCTAGGAGTGGATCTGCTACATCATATGGCATGCAAATGTTCAGCTTTATAGATAACTGCTCAATCAGTTCTCCAAAGTGGTTTTACCAATTTATACTACTGCCAGAAGTATATGAAAATCCCATTTTCTACCCTCACCTACACATCACCAAGACTCTAGTTTAATGTCTAATCAACATCACAAATGCAAAACTGAACTCCTGATCTCCCCCAACAACTTTCATGAAAAATGTCCAACTATAGCCTTCCACACTTAAGTCAATGACAGGTCCATCCTTTCATTTGCTCAGGCCAAAATGAGTCACCCTTAACTTCTCTTCCTCACCCCATCTCTAATTTGTCAGAAAATCCTGTTTGTTCTATCTATATCCAGATTCTAACTTCTCCCCAATTCCAAATCTACACCCTTACCAAGCCATCACCATCTATCATTTAAATTACTACAATAATCTCCAAATTGGTCTCCTTGCTGGCATATTTACACCCCTACAGTTTTTTTTGTTTTGTTTTGTTGATGGCTGGCCATTACAGGGATCCAAACCCATGACCTTGGTATTACAAGGCTATTCTCCAACCGAGCTAACTGGCCAGCCCCTCTACAGTTATTCTCAACAAAGCAGCCATGTCATGTCATGACACTCCTCTGCTCAAATCCTGCAGTGGCTCCCCACTTCACTGTGACTCTTTACAATGGCTTGCAAGGTCCCTTCATTTTCTGCCCCCCCTAACCTCAATATCCTCCTTTCCTCATCACCACCACTTGCCCCCAGCCACATAGGTCTTGCCACTATTCTTTGAACAGAACAGGCCCTCTGGTTTTGAAGCCTTTGCTTTGGCTTTTCCCTCCACCTGAAATGCTCCCCCTTAGACATTAACTTACTAAACTTTCTTACTTCTTCAAGTATTTGCTCAAGTCTCATCCTCACAATGAGACTCACTACCATCCTATTTAATACAGTCATCCCTCAGTATCCACAGGGATTGGTTCTAGGACACAAATCATCCCCAACCATCCCCCCACCCCACCCGAATACCAAAATCTGCAGATGCTCAAGTCCCTTATATAAAATGACTTAGTATTTGAGTATAACCTATGCACATCCTCCTAAATATTTTTTTCCTCCTAAATACATCTCTAGATTACTCATAATACCTAATACGATGTAAGTGCTACGTAAATAGTTGTTATGCTGTATTATTTTTTGTTGTTGTATTATTTTTTACTGTTTTGTTTTGTTCTGTTTTCAAATATTTTTAATCCACAACTGGTTGAATCCATGGATGTGGCACCCACAGATACAGAGGGCCGACTGTACTGCACACACTCCACCTCTCCACTTCCTTGGCCAGCTCTTTTTATATCTGCCTATTGTATTAATCACTTCCTAATAACCATATAACTTACTTTTTTTCATTTTGTTTATTGCCTTTTTCCCCACAACTCCCCAACCTCCGGGACAGCATAGATCCTTTGTTTTGTTCTGTGATACATACCAAGCAAGCAGCAGGCATGTAATTGGCACTAAGATATTCCCTGTATGAATGAATGAATGTCCTTCTTATCAGCAGAACAAAATAATTAAATTCTTAATACTACTGTGGTTTACAGATATTATCTTTCTACAAGTCTTCATAATGTGGAATTTTAAAAGTTCCCAGCCTTAAATAATTACATGATGACAACCAAGATAACCAATTAAGGGAGGATAGAGATTGAAACACTTCTTTATGGGAAGACAGAGGAAATTCCTGAGAGACAATATGAACCTTCTGACCCCACAGTCACATCAAGCAGTTGTGGCACAGTTTACTAGAATAACTGGAACCAGTTCTGGTTGTAGAGTTTTGCCCAATTTCCCAGTCATCTTTAAAAAGCTGACCTCCAGGGCCGGCCCGTGGGTCACTTGGGTCACATCAAGCAGTTGTGGCACAGTTTACTAGAATAACTGGAACCAGTTCTGGTTGTAGAGTTCTGCCCAATTTCCCAGTCATCTTTAAAAAGCTGACCTCCAGGGCCGGCCCGTGGGTCACTTGGGAGATAACACCAAGGCCATGGGTTCAGATCCCATATAGGGATGGCCGGTTAGTTCACTGGGTGAGCATGGTACTGACAACACCAAGTCAAGGGTTAAGATCCCCTTATCGGTCATCTTTAAAAAAAAAAAAAAAAAAAAAGCTGACCTCCAGGTAGTGGGGAGAGGGGACAGTGAGTGGTTGATTAACAGGTACAAAAGTACAATTAGACAGGAATATCTAGTGTTCTATTGCACTGTAGGGTGACTATAATTAACAACAATTTATTGTATAGTTTCAATTAGCTAGAAAAGAGGGCTTTGAATGTTTCCAGCACAAAGAAATGATAGATGTTTGAGGTAATGGGGAAAAAAAAAATCAGTGGTTGCCAGGGTTTCAGGGGATGAAGGTGGGAGGGAAGGAGTCAGAGATGAATAGGTGGACCAAAGAGGATTTTTACGGCAGCAAAACTATTCTGTATGACATTGTAATGGTGAATACATGACATTATGCATTTGGCAAAACCCATAGAACAGTACAAAGAGGGAACTATAATACAAAATTAATAATACATCGATATTTAATATTAATTCATAATTGTAACAAATGTACCACATTAAAATAACATGTCAATAATAGGAAAAAGGGTGTTATGAGTGTGGGGAGAGGGAATGGGAACTATCTGTACTTTTTGCTCAATTTCTCTGTAAAACTAAAACTGCTACAAAATTAAAGAAAAAAAGTTGAGTGTTTTTTTTTTTTTTTTCTTAAAGCTGACCTCCAATATCTTTCCTTTAAGCAAACAGCAAAACCCAGTTTTACATTCGGTCACTCACGGTCTTTATAAAAGAAATGGTGCCCAGCACGTTTCACTAAAACCCTGGGGTCTTTCTAAGGGATCCCCCTCTTTCCTCTGCTATCCAACCCTGGAGAATGGGTGCCTGGTTCAGCCCTTCACCTTCCCGGACTCTGCCCAAGAACCAAAGGCCCTACTCCCCAGAACCTGGCAGTCAGTAGTCAAGCGATTATTAGAACGAGGTTTCAGCAGGTTAAGTAAACATCCGGCAGGGCAATGAAGCAGCCATTTCAGGAATGTCATCGCGGCCGCTTGCGTCCTACCTGCCCGCTATTCTGCCCCTGCCGCCCCAAGCGCGGCCGGGTCCTCTCGGCGGACACCCACCTCCGGCCAGAAAGGAGCGCAGCCAGTAGAAGTCTCGGCGGGCAGTGGGCCCTCCGGACCCTGCCGCCTGAGGCATCGCAGGAGGGGGGTCGGCCGCTGTCAAGGCCGCCGCCGCCACCATCAGGACCAGGGCCGCGACCGGAGCCTAGGCTGCCAACTTACAAACCACTGGCCGGGACCATAACAAGAGCGGCCGGTGACAGGAGGCCGACCGCCGCGCCGGCGGGGCCGAATAACACTCGGCGGCGAGGCGCGGGCTGATGGCGTAGCCAGGGGCGGAGCCTGGGCCGCGGCCGGAAGGGCCCGGGGCGGGGCCTGGCGGGGGCGGGGCCTGGCGG